TGCATTTCTTCATTGTCATTACCGGTAACCACCATATCATCTACATAGATGATCAGGGCCGTAAGCTTTCCACCACGACGCTTTAAGAACAATGTGTGATCTGAGCTACTCGGAGTGTACCCAAATCGCTTCATGGAATCAGTAAATCTCCCAAACCAGGCTCGGGGTGATTGCTTTAGCCCATACAGAGATTTTCTTAGCTTGCATACGGTATTAGGACCGGATGTCATAGGAATCCCTGGTGGTGGATCCATATATATTTCTTCTTGTAAGTCCCCATGAAGAAAAGCATTTTTTACATCATATTGCAGTAGTGGCCAGTCAAGATTTGCAGCCAAGGATATGAGAACACGTACAGTATTGATTTTGGCAACTGGTGCAAACGTCTCCTGGTAGTCAATTCCATATGTTTGTGTATATCCCTTGGCCACTAATCGAGCTTTGTATCGGTCTATGGATCCATCAGCTTTGTATTTAACAGTGTATATCCACCGACATCCAACTGGTTTCTTCCCATGTGGTAAAGGAACCATTTCCCATGTAGAATTCTTTTTCAAAGCTTCCATTTCAATTGCCATTGCTTCAATCCATCTAGAATCTGTCACAGCATCCTGCCACTTACTTGGAACACATACAGTAGATAATTGATTGACAAATGATGCATATGACTTTGACAATCTATGAGTGGACACATGGTTATTGATGGGGTATTTAGATTTAGCATTAAGGTCAGGGCAATATTGAGGTTTAGGTTTTCCCCTAGTGGATCTAGGTGGAAGTATATATGGTGCAACATTAGGTGGCTCAGTGATTACCTCAAGTACTTCTTCATCACTAGACGAATGATGCTGTGGCAGGGCAAGAGGGGTTGTATTTTGTAGTTGATCATCTGGGGCATCTGGATCACCTTCTGGTTCAATAGTCTCAAAGTCTTCACTGAGGTCAGAACTGAGAAGATCAGGATCTTCAGGATTTTCAACTCTGTGAAAACGCGACTGGTCGCTGGATTCTTCGTGACCGGTCGCCTGAGGCACTTCTCCATTTTTTTCAGTATATTTTTCGATCGTCTCTTCAAATGATGAGTCCTTCTCTTCACTCCCCCTCTCCCCCTGAAGAGAAGGGGTCTTGGAAACCACAAAGTAGGCCAAATCTTCATGAAAAGTGGCATCCATAGTGACAAAGAGCTTTTGAGTAGGAGGATGGTAACACTTGTATCCTTTTTGATTCAAGCCATATCCAACAAACACACATCGGAGGGCACACGGATCCAGCTTACTCCGTTGATGAGAAGGAACATGAGCATAAACAACACAACCGAACACACGAGGAGGCAACTT